AGGACGGGCGGCTTCGGGCTCTCTCCGCTGGACCCGCCGGCCAGGGAAGCAGCGCTGCCGTCGCCTCGCCTCCCTGTCTGCGGATGGGTGGGTGCTATCACTGCCTCGGGCAGCCTCTCCCGGTGGCCCCTTCGGGTTCGGGCTGGAGGGACTTGGGAAGGAAGTCAAGCTCAGGTCGGCCCGGCTCTTTCGGTTGGTAGGCAGGCGCGCACCTGCGGCTTGCTTTCCCGGCTCTGACCAGCCCGCATGGCTCTGGCGCGGCCCTGGCGGGATGAGTGGAGGGTTTGGCGGGGAGGCGCTCGCTGCCTTGGCGAGAGCTCCGCCACCGGGCAGGAGGGCTCGCCTGTCAGCTGCGCTGGGCGCCCCAAGCGAAGCTCTTCGCACTCTACCCGGCGCCAGGCAGGGATGGCGGCTGGGCGCTTCTCCCAGGGTGGGCCGATCCTGCTCTGCGGCCCCGGGAGATTCGCCTCCCCACGTGGGTTGGGCTGCCCTCTCGGGTAGGGGAGTCTTTGTCGTACCGGTAGTAGGGCGTCGTTTTTAAAAGAATTGGCTTTGCCATCGAAGACGAAGGGAAGGAGGTGACAGGAGTGCCTGAAGCCGAATGTCTCAGCTGGGCTCCAGTTGCAGGGAGAAGCCCTGGCTAGCTGCGCGTGGCTACGCCAAATGCCGCAGCGTTGCTTTAAATGCCGCGGCAGCACGGGGAGAAGGGAAGGCAACGGTGGTGGAAGGTCTCCCGATACGAAGTGCCCCACCAACGCCGAGGTCAACACAGGCAGCACCATATCTGGGTATGCAACAAAAGTACTTCCTAACAGTCAGCCCCCCGCCATTCCCCCCCATTTCGCATGTTTAATATAGGCCTTAATTTGGGGGGAGGGGCTTAATTTGATTTTATGCCTATAAAGCATGCTGGGACTTCCTATTGGGGGAGGCCGTATTGTTGGAGAAACACGGTAGGTGGTCAGCCTATTGTAGCTACTAAAATAAATGTTATCACATTCTCTGCCTGTCTCCCTCACCTCTAACAAAGAATGCAAAGTATGGGGAAGCAATGAGTTATTGTTTAAGACTGCTTTCCTCTAGATGCATCAGACTCCAGTTCCTAGAATTACACAGAAACTGCTCTCTGCTCTGTCATATATAATCTATCATAGCTAGAGAGCATAAACATTATGGTTTGTTTTAGGTTTGGAAGAAACTCAAGCGGGGAATTCGATTTTCACTTTGCATCAGTCTAAAGCCATTCGGAAGAGAAAATAAATAAGAGCTTAATCTGAGTCCTAGAAACATTTTTCTTTTTAAATGAAATGAGGTGCTCCTTAAAACGGCTAACGAAAGTACCATTAGTTCTAAATATCATTATGTAATTCTACTTTTACAGAATATATAGTATCCTATTTTGGGGTATAGTTTCCTCTTTTAAGCTTGAAGACCTCACTGTCATTGAACTATTCAGTTTACCTGACGCTTTCCTTTAAAAGCACAACAGTCTTATGAGGTAAGTTGGGCTGATGAGCAGCCTAAAGTCACTGAGTGACCTTCTGCAGTTGATTTGAACCTGGGTCTTGCTGGTGCCAATGCAACATTTCATCTGTCAAGAATAGGGTCAGATAATGGTACTAAGGTATTTAATTTTTGATTGACAATATGAGATCATATGCAATGTAATTGTAATTGAAGACTATGAAATGGAAGCACAAAACAATTTGTAAACCAACCGGCACACTGTATGTACACCTATGGAAGATAGCTTGATGTTTTTATGTTTTGTTTGTTTATGTTTGTTTTTAAAAAACCAATAAAATTTATATATATACACATACATACATACATACATACATACATACACACACACATATATATATAGAATAGGGTCAGAGTAAAAACAAAATTTAATTTGAAGAGAATTAGATATATTTTCTAATTTGCAATAGCTAGCCAATTTTTGCTGATATCAGAAAAGTTAGGCTGGTCAGTTTATTATTATATTATAGTTTTTATATGTATAGCTCAAAGTGACAAACATATATCTAATACTTCTGCCTCTTGTTTTTGCCACAACAACCCTGCGAGGTAGGTTGAGCTGAGAGAAAATACCTTAAGACAGTTGACTACAAAGTGTGATGGGAAAAGGCAAGAGATGTGCCTTTCTGTTTTGAGCTTGTTGAAGTGCCTTTATTTTACAGAATAAAATCACAATGGTGATTGGGCCCTTAGTCAAGCTCAACTTGCAAGGCTGTTGTTATGAATAAAAAGGAAGAGGAAGCTCATGCCTGCCATTACAAACTCTACCATACAGTAAAAAACATTCTATAATGAAATATGTTAAAATGGGTTGAGAGAAGCCCTTCCTTGGAAAGAAATGAGTAAAAAAAGAGACTTGGGTTTTCTCCCCTCCCCCCACCTGATAGATGAAAGGAAAAAAAAGGATGTGCTTCTCCCAAATCTCTCTCTCTCCTTAAATAATACTGTAACTTCATAAGTTTTCTTTTAAGAAAAAAACATGAAGTGTTCAAATCTGAGAATTCCAACCTGCATTACACTACAAATTGGTACAATCCAGGATGCTATTGGTTAATGGCTGTATCCAGCAGAATTGATTGGTAAAGCAGCAGTTCCTGGCTATACCACATCAGACTGATGGTGGGAGCTGAAATGTTTCAATGCACTTTCCCAGGCTGGATGGACACAGATTCTCTACAGAGAGCTCTAGTGTGCCAGAGAAAGGATCACCCTTGGCTTAATTCTGAATGAACAAGGAGTTGTTTTTCATGAAGGAACTGCAGAACTATCTCGACAGGTGGCAGCACTGTGTCAATTTAGTCTTGATGGAGAATCTAAAGGAGTACAAGCTTATAAACTGGTTATACTAGGATGGAACACCACTAGGAAATCTCAGAGCTGTAGGCTAGATTGTAAAAAACAACAACAAAACTACCACCTCTCAGAAGACAAAGGCAAATCACTTTCAGAATCCAATAGTTACCAATGATCAAAAAGTGTCTACTGCACTTTACTATAGAAATATGCAGTTGTTAACAGAAGTAGCCTAAGTCAGGAGTCTATTTTTCAATTGCATCTGTCCAGGTCATAGAATAATTATTCTGTCCCTAGAGCAATTATGTTATTGCAAAGCACAAGGGAGAATAACAACTCTATTGGCAAGGCTATCACATCTGTAACATCAGAGTTAAGCATTCCATCACAAGCTTAACAATTTCATCCAAGAAACTGAGCGAGGCAGCCTAGTAAAGAACTATCGATAATAAAATGCTGTTTGAGACACTGATTTGAAAAGTTAAAGAAAATAGCTGGAAAAAAAGTTAGCAGTACTACCCGGCTCCTAGAAAAGCAGAGTCCAACTTCTGCATTCCTTTTGGCATGTGTTTTCAAGGATTTGCAATGTGTTAAGCTAGGATATAAAAGGCTGCTGTGCTGAGGTCTGAAATGCAATATTTTTAGACAAGGAGGATTTAAAGGTTATTGGTGACATTAAAAAAAAAACCTTTGGGATGGTTTCCCCTTTCCTAGAACACCAAAGATTAAGAACACAATGAAAAAAGGGAGTTCCGTTTGTCCATCAGCAGAAAAGAACTGTTTTTTTAAAAAACCCACAATTCTGTTGTACTGTACGCATAATACCCAATTGAGTAATTCAAAAGAAGCTGTAAACAAGTTAGCAGTGGTAACATTACACAGCAAACCACATCAACTGCCAAGCCACAAATCAAAGGGAAATTTCAACCCAGTGAACTTTTTATTAGAGATAAAGGACAATAATGAAATTCAATTGCAAACACCCCCCTTTAACCAGGCAGATTGAGATGGAAAGAAAGGGTTTGGGGGGGCGTGGGGGGAAAAAGATTATCTTTGCATTTTTAATTTGCAATTTAGTTTCAACATGAATATGCACGCTCGTTTTATTATCAGCCTTCCCTAGGGCCATTAGGGGTGTGTCGTTATTAAAAATGGTTTTTTGAAGGGGGTTCTTCTCAGCATACTTAAAAGGCTACAGTCAAGAGGCAAAAACTGAGTTCAGAAATGGTTTTTCTCAACTCCATCTAGTCTAACTGCACGAAATAAGCAGAGGTGGGTGAAGAAACCTATCTTTCTATTTACTATGCTATTTGCAAGTCAAATTATTTGTATGGGGGTGGGGGAGGAAGAAATCCAGTGATTGAAGTCACCGGTCCAAAAAACATTTTTATTTTGTTCTTTCTGCTTGTTCATATACATATATTCATTTAGCTAATCCAGATCTCTTGACTTCCTCCAAAAGAACATTATGCAAAAAGAGAAAAAAAATAAGGCAATGTTGCAGAGAATATAACAACCCCCCCCCTATTTATCAATAAATCCTATTCCCCAAAACCCGACATGATTTTAACTGATAGGAATAAAATATGCAACCCACAAATATCTCTCGTTTTTGCCCCCTCCCGTTCTTATTGCTGTTCTTTGTTGTCCTGGGCGCTGATCCTCTCTTGAGTTGTTGTTGTTTACCTCCTTATTAATATTATTATTATTATTCCTTTTTAAAGATGACTTTGGAAATTTATGGAACAGCGAGCCCCCAATCCTAAAGCTAGTTTCCTTCAGCAACATCTTTTAAAGGAGAATTAAAAAATCGACTCCACTGGAGGGGGGGGAAGGGAAGAAGGGGGCGTGTTTGTGCAGAAACTCAGTCTCTATTGAAAAGATACTAGAAAATGAAAGAAACCATTGAGAGCTCTAAGCAAGAGGCTGGGTACGAGATACCTATGTGGAGACACATCCACACACAAGTGTGTTAAAGGGGGGGGGGGTCACCTCCTTAAAACTAAACCCTCTGTAACACCCCCCCCCCCCCCCAAAAAAAAAACAACCCTTGGTGCCTGCGAGTGATTATTTTTTTAAAGGCTTTCTGTGTCGCTTCCTTTGCAGGGCAATTTTCCTTTGCTTCTCACATTTTTATCAATTCTGTGTCAACAATTAATTTGTTGGTTCTCTAGCCGGCTTACCTGGTCTTGGAGGAGAGGAACGCCAGTTTGATCAATCCATAGGTAAACAATTGGATGCTGTCTTTCGCTATGCTCGCTACTTTCAAGCGGTGCTCTAAAATGTGCAATTCCATCTTTTTTTTCTTTCTCATTTGTAGTTCATCTGTTTCGATTCTCCGCTTTCTTGTGGGCTGTTTCTCTTTCTCTCTCTCTCTCTCTCGCCCCCCTCCCCTTACTCAACCAGAGTATTTTTCCACTGTCTTTCCTTTTTACGTTTTCCAGCGCAGGCAGAGAGAAGCAGTGGGGGGAAGGCTAATAATGACTTTAGGAAGGGGGTGGAATATGGTATTTATTATTAAAAAGAAAGAAACGGGGGAAAATATAGGAAAAGGTGTTATTGCTAAATCCAGAAGTAGAAGGAATGAGGAAAGAAAAGAAGCAAAGGAGAGAAAAAAAAATAAGGAGTGGGGGGGAGCAGAAGCTGGGAAGAGAGTTGGGAGCTCGAGAGTGCAGAAAAGCTGCTGCTGTTTCAGAATGTAACAAACAACTTGCCAGTCAAACGAACCCCCAATGGGCATGCGCATAGAGCGGAGCTTCGTGGGAAATGTAGTTCGAGGGGCGGAGCGCTGCTAAGTTTTTTTTCCTTCCTTCTTTAAATAAGCAAATTGAAAAAGAGGGCGGTTGCTTCTCAAAATAAAAGGATACATATATTTCTCTGTTGTTGTTTTTGCTGAGCCAATTGTCTCACTTTCCTGATTTGTTTTAAAAAATTACTAAAAGTAATACATAATTAAGTGCAACTTTAGTGCCTGAATTTTGTGAAGAGGGGAAAATTAGAGTAGCAGTAGCTCCTGATAATGATAATGTGTTTCTGTGCAACTTAACTCAGGAGTAAGCCCCACTGTGTTCAGTTAAATTTACTTCCAGGTAAGTATAAAACTACATATCGTGATTGTTATTTTTATTTTCTAAAAGTATTGCTGAACCTAACTTATCTGAAAGTCTTTGTTATTAAGCATTGCTTTCTAATTCTGGGGAAAATAAGCTTATTTGTAGGTCAATAAATAATATTTTGGCCATAACTCAAATGATTTAAAAATATATGGAACATACTTGAAAGCCATTAGTTACAGTAACAATGCAAATTATACATCCAGGCCATGTATGAGGTAATGCGAGCAAAATTTAAAATGAAATCGAGTTGAATTAATAATAGCAATAGCAATATAGCACTTACTTATATTTTGCTCCATAGTGTTTTACAACACTCCCTCTGAGCAGTAAGAACAGAATTAGAAGGGACCTTGGAAGTTTGCTAGTCCAATCCTCTGCTCAGGCACAAAACCCTATACCAAGGATCTTCAAACTTGACAGCTTTAAGACTTGTGGACTTCAACTCCCAGAATTCCTCCTCCAATCATGTTAGCTCAGGAATTCTGAGAGTTGAAGTCCACAAGTATTAAACTTGCCAAGTTTGAAGGCCCTTGCCCTATACCAGGGGTCCCCAAACTTGGCAACTTTAAGACTTGTAGATTTCAGTTCCCAGAATTCTCCAGCCAGCTATGGAGAATCCTGGGAGTTGAAGTCCACAAGACTTAAAGTTGCCAAGTTTGGAGACCTAAGCCCTATACAAATGGCTGTCCAATCTCTTCTTAAAAACCTCCAGTGATGAACCACCCATAACTGCTTAAGGCTAACTGTTCCACTAGTTAATTGTTCTCACTGAGGAAATTTCTCCTTAGTTTTAAGTTGCTTCTCTCCTTGATCAGTTTCCACCCATTGCTTCTTGTCCTGCCCTCAGGGGCTTTGGAGAATAGTTTGACTCCTACTTCTTTGTGGCAGCCCCTGAGATATTGGAACTCTGCTATCATGTCACCCCTAGTCCTTCTTTTCATTAAACTAGACATACCCAGTTCCAGCAACCATTCTTCAGATTGGATTGCTGTTTGTCAGAAACGGTGTAGGGCAGGCCTGTCAAACTCCTGGCCCACAGGCCGGATGTGTCACGTGCTGGCCACACCCACACCTGGTTTAGCGAAGGGGGGGTATCCTGATATGTCACGTGATGCTGCTGTGATGACATGAGTGCAGGGTCTCCTGCTTGTGGTGGGTGAGTTGGACTAGATGACCTACAAGGTCCCTTCCAACTCTGTTAATCTATAATCTGTAATGTTTTAGCCCCCTAATCATCTGTGTTGCTTTTCTCTGCACACTTTCTAGAGTCTCAATATCTTTTTTATATAATGGTAAACCATTCCTGTGTTTTTACCAAGGAAGCACATTGGTAGATGCTAGAGTACTCATCTCTAATGATCTAAGTGCTAGAGCCCACTGTAACTAC